TTTTCCCGCCCCCAAATGTACGTGATGTAGCCAACCGACAAGGAATCTACGCCATATAACCATAAAGTCTACTAGTCCTAACTTCCTTTCCTCGTCCCGAACGAAACCCTTAGCACATCATCTCCCCCTCCCCCCCCCCTCTTCCTTTGCCACATTCAAATCCCCGTCACTCGCAGGTGAGGGAGTCCTACCCGTCACCGCCAGATGTTTTCGCAAATCGTGCATGATACCGGCCGAGCCGAACCGAGCCGAGTTTTAGCAATTGCCAGGAGAGACGGAGCTACAACAGCTGAGGAAGCGGTTATCTCTTTGGAGGATGGGTGCATGCGAGCGAGAGGCATCCAGTTGCCCGGCATCCTGCTTTGCGCATCGGCAAGGTGAAGCATTGTGGATTTCTGTGGCAGTGGCTTCTTGCGCACTCATTCGGTGTCGTGGAGCATAATCCGTGCCTGGAGCAATCAAGAGCGGCATGCTGCTTCAGCTGCTGGTCAGCCCCGGTGCTGTCTGCACACTGTCTGCATGCACAACGCTGAAATTGCTGCGTGGTGCACTGGTTCAGCGATATTTCTCGACTGTCCCACGAAAAACAATCATCGACGGTAAGAGCAAATTTTCTGCATTTATACATTTTTATGCAAATGCAAAAACGTATATTGACAAGAGATTATCTGTGTGTATATATTTGGGAATATTTATGTATGTGTGTGTGTGTGTCTGTTTGCATGCCTGAGCTTTGTCACCCACTTTCAACTCAGCAACCGGGAAAACTGGGAGACTGAAATTTTGCGTGCATGTTCCCAGCATACGTGTCATCCGTACAACCTGAAAACATCGCCCACGTATGTCTAGATCCTACGTGCAGACGTCGAAAGAATATGCAAATTTTGTGCCGAGAAAACAATTTCGAGAACCAAACAAGCTAGAAAGCTGAAATTTCACAATGATATCCTCTATCCATGTGTAAGTTAAATGTTGGTCAAATTCATTTACATTATCTACTAAAAGCAATTCAGACCGAAAAATTTCATCCAACGAATAGAATATTCAACTTGTACGAAGTCCCAGCTGCGATTTCTAAATAAATGCAAAACAACTGAATGGTTCAAGCGCTTTATTTCATTCGTTTTAATTTATTATGCGTTTTTTTTTTTTTGTATCTATGCAGTGCAGCAAACGCATATTGACGAGGGGTTGTCTTTGTATATGTCTGTCTGCGTCTGTACCGATTTTTCATCCCGAGACCTATAAAAGCTACGGGGCTGAAATTTTGGGGCCTTAATCTATATGCGTGTACAGACCTTCACCCCAAAAATGGGCGTCTTGCCGGCGTTGTTCCCACTTACGGGTCCGGAAAGTTTTGTTTTTTGGATAATTTGCTAACTCGGGGACCTGAACAGCTAGAAGATTGCGATTTCAAGGGGGTGTTTCCCGCCCATGTAGGTTTTAATGAATTCAAACCGAGTCCCCGGGTATGCATGGTTCCCACGTACGGGCTCGGGAAAGTTTGCTTCGGGTGAGTTGCTAACTTGGGAACCAGGAAAACTAGAAGGCTTTAATTTCGAGCAGATGTTTCCCGTTTGCGTAGGTCTTAATGACTTCAGACCTAGACATCGGGTAAGCGTGGTCCCCACTTATGGGTCCGGGAAATTTTTTTGGGTAAGTTGCTTACTCGGGAATTTGAAAAGCTTGAAGACTGGAATTTGAAGGGGGTATTTCCTGACAGTCCTGGCGAC